ATTTAAACAACTTCAGAAATCTGTAATGAAGAAGAGGATTAGGGGGATCTACCTTGGACCATGATACAGCTAAATATAACTCTTTTTGTAACGTCTGCAATCTCCTAAAATGAGCAGGACACATATTACACCATGTAATTATCACAATGATTCACATTCAGGACAATTTCTGAATTTTAAAAATTAAACCAACATATTTGGAAACTTTTTTCATAAAACCATCAATTTGCCTCTTGGAAGTCACAAAGTCATCAAACCTTCCAAAAATATTGCAGATTTTACCCTCTTGATAACACTACTATTTTTCTGCATACATACATTGTCAACATTTTTCTAGTTTCTGTTTGAGTTAAATACAACTACTTTTTTTTTTTAATTTTTGCAAACAATAACTTATTAAATGTATAATATGTTGGAGATTATCTAGTTTTCATGAGACAAAACAGATTTGTATTATTAGCAAACATTACTTTATATAAAATACTAGAGGAGTAAATAAAATCATTAACATATAGAAGGAAGTAAACTGGGCCTAATATTGATATGTGGTGCTTTTATTGAATATTTGCTATTAACAGGCTAAATACAGGTACTATCTCTGCAATAATCCTATACTTCTGTTGTTAATAAAGCACTAAGTAAAAGTCTTGAGACCCCCTTAATTTATCTATATCTTGCTTCCAAACAGCCAGATTATCTTGTTGTTGTTTTTTCTTGCTTTTGTTTGTTAGTTTTTGTTTTTGTTAGTTTAGTTTTAGTACAAGTGGTCTTGTACAATAGGTCTTCAGGTCTGACTGAGATCTAGGGAATTAGGAGTCCACACCTTAAACCAACCCTGAACCATTTTTCATTGTGTTAGGGCGCTTTATCTTGAAAGAAGTGAAAGAGACTGTGTCCATGACAGTGTCTACATGACCTGCAATAATGATTGGGTGGTACTTGTTAAAGTAACATCCACATGGATGACAGGACCCAAGGTTTCCCAACGAGACATTTCCTAAAAACAGCACACTGCCTCTCATGGCTATAGCCTTCTTGTCATGGTGCATATTGGTGCCAGGTGTTCCCCACATGCACCTGGCCCGTGATGTAAAAGAAACACAATTCATTAGCTGAGGCCACCTTCTTCCTTGCTCTGCGGTTCAGCTCTGATGCTCACGTGACCGTTGTGACTGATCTACGGTTATGAAGCCCCATGTGCAACAAACTATCAGAACCACCATTAACTTTTTCTGCTGTTTTTCGAGCTACAGTAGCTCGACTGCTGGATGGGACCACACAGGCCAGCTCTCACTCCCCAAATGCATCAGTAAGCCTTGGCCGCCCATGACCCTGTCGCTGGTTCACCACTGTTCCTTCCTTGGACCTGTTCCTCTCAGTGTACACGGTATTTCCATGAATGTCTTTTCACGGGTTTAAAAAACCTCCCATTTTCTGAACAAAATAAACCGAAATGAGGGGCGGCTAAAGACTTTTGCACAGCACTGGAGTTAACTAACAATTCCACTGAAGAATAAACTTTTTTCAGCTGCAGCATTCTATGAAATAAATATTCTCCCTGGTGTTTTGTTTTTGCCACATTTCATTGCATTTCAGCTTTATACGTTTTGGACCTTTGAGAATCTCGAGTTCGTAATAACTGAGCTGCCAGTGGCTCAGTGAGGCAGAAAAGCATCAACCAACCTGTTTTATGTGCACATGTAATCAAGTGCTGAAAATATTATTTGTAATAATGAATCAAACGCTCAAGTTCATATCAAAAGCATTTTTACAAAAACATAATCATGTTTAATCCTGCATTTTACACGTCAATTATAATGTCAGTGCTGCTGTTTTATCCATTTGATGATATGCTTTAAATACACATATCCCATAAAAACACTCATTAGACAGCATACACACTGATTTTGACCTTCTGTGTGTATTTATACTTGAACATCAACCTCATCTGCCTCTTCTTTACAATAGCAACAACAACAAATAAATAATAAGACGTTGGTCAGAGTGGTGCT